AGTGGGTGAGAGCAGGAACCATGAAGTCTAACAGATTTGTACAATCTTCTCATTTACCAGCTGGGAGAAGTCTATGAACCTCTCTACATTTCATTCTCCTTTTATGAAATAAGCAAAGGCTCACAAAATGGTGGTGGTGGTGGGCTGTCCAGTCAGTTCTGACTCAGAGCAACCCTGAGTAGGGTTTCTGAGGCTGTGAACTTTTATGGCAACAGAAAACCTCACCTTTACCTGGCAGAGTAGCAGGTGGATTCGAATTGCTGACCCGATGGTTAGTAGCCCAACATGTAAACCAATTATGCCATCAGGGCTCCTGCGTTAAATGGGGTCGGTTCTGACTAATAGCCACCCTGCATAGGGTTTCCAAGGATGTAAAACTTTATGGGAGCAGAAACCCTCATCTTTCTCCCATGGAAAAGCTGGTAGTTTCGAACTGCTGACTTTGAAGTTAGCAGCCCTACTCGTAACCACTGTGTTACCAGAGCTCCTTCACTAAATGTAGCTAACTATGAATTTTAGAGTTGTGTGTTGTCTCCACTGGTCCAAGACTATGAAGGCAGGCAATCTGTCATTCATCATGCAATTTGAAGTCTCTTCTCACACCCACCCTCAGCACCCTCTACTTTCTTGTCCTGTAGGATACACCTATTGTCCAACAAGTCTATTTATGTCTCTGGGTCCTCCACTAAGCTGAGCTCGATGGGTCCATGAATCTCTCTAAACCCTAGCACAGTGCCTGTCATATCTGCTGAATAAGTGAAAGGTGAATATGACTTAGCAGATACTGGTAGCGTAGTGGTTACGAATCGGGCTGCGAACCTTAAGGTCAGCGGTTCGAAACTACCAGTCACTCCGCGGGAGAAAGATGAGGCTTTCTACTCCCGTAAAGATTTACACCCTCGGAAACCCTGTACAGGGTCGCTATGGGTCGGACCCGACTCGATGGCACTTAACAACAACAACAACAACAGTAGTTCTGTAAGAAATATATTTTACATCAAATTCTTTCACAAGGAGACATTCTAAATACACCAGTTCGAGCATCACATCAGATGGTATGTGATCAAGAACTGAATTACATGTGATCAATTGGTAAAATGCGCAGGGTAGACACGCTACAGCAAGAGGTGGCCAATGCAGAAGTTCTCAGGGGCAGGTTAGGGACCTAGGAGGAGATGGGGAGGATGAGAACTGGGGAAAATTGGAAATAACATCTCTGGGCAGGGCTGGGCAGCTCAGCTCCAATTCTTTGCTACCATCTGGGAATGTAGCCTCGAGGCTCTCAAACCTTCAGATTTTTCAAATGAAGAGAGAATTTGGAGTCTGATATGAAACTTTCCATGTTTGCACATTGCTGGCGACTCTTTTAAACTATTCAACACTTACTTGAGACAATTGAAGCATGTGTGCAAGCCAGACTGTGACCACTGACAAATGTTCTAAGTGAGCAGAGGGAGGTTGAGCCCTAAACCCACTCCATTTAATTGATTCTGACTCATAGGGACCCTCCAGAACAGAGCAGAACTGTCCCCTAGGGCTCTCAGGCCTGGCATAGTTATGGAAGCAGACTGCCATCCTCTCGCCTCCTGTGAAAGGGCAGTTGGTTAAATTGAAACTGCCAACATTTTGGTTAAAAATTGAGTGCTTTAACTTAGTTGTTGCTAAATACTATTGAGCCAGTTCAAAGTCATGCCCTGTATAGGGTTTCCGAGGAGCAGTCGGTGGCTATGAATTGCTGACCTTGTACCATGCTTCTTGTTGTTGGTGCTAACTGCCATCAAGTCCGTTCCAACTCCCAGCGATCCTGTACTGGGTTTCCAAGGAGTGAATGGTGAGTTTGAACCTCCAATCTTGCATTTCAAATCAACCTTGCAGTCGATTGCTTATTCTGTGGCACCACACCAGGAATCCTGTGCCCCCCTCGACAGGCTTTAATGGAAGAACCGTCACATAAGGAAAGCATCATATCTTCACTGGCTCATTCAGCCTTATAAAACCAACAGGAAAGCAGTGCTTGATCTTTGGCCAAGAATACCCCTATAACATCAAACAAGTATTAACTGAGAACCTACTAAGTGCCTGGCACTGGGATATTAAGATGACTAAGCACTGCTTCCTCTGAGACTTTACAGATGGTCAGCTCAAGAAATGCTGTGGAGACTCTACTGGACCTATAGGAGTCATTTCTTCTCTCATTAGGTTTCTGCCCTAGAATGGCTGACAACAAACCGCCATATTACCGTTTCCTTCTAATTCTCCCATCCCACTGAAGGCACGCAGTACCACCTGGGAGCGGAGTGGCCTCCCACAGCTAGACAGGGTTGGAGGTTTATGAGTCAGGAAGACAGTGTCTCTATCAATGCCTAACTCTTCTGTGCAAAATAGGCACCTTCAGGAGGAGTTCCAATGGGAGAGACAGATATTAAGATGATGCAGCATCCCCCAGAGCATGATTTACCACGAGGTCACATGTGTGTCTAAGACTGGACTGAAACTGTTTTAATTCAATCTTCACGGCAGGTACGCAGAAGGCTCTTTTTGGTATAACTTCTGCTGTGATCTTCGTCTTGCTGAAGGACTAACTTCCATCAAAGCTCTGCCAATATTGATTGTTCAGGCTCAAAAGTACATAAGTAGATTGATTTTATTTTCTTTCTCAAACTACAAAAGTTCAGAGTAGTGTTAGTACATTCCTGTTTCCACTGGTTGGAAACACATTGAATAAATGATCATGCTACCAGTGAAAACCCAGTCAAATAAAACAGTGATGGAAAACAGGGTAGAAGAGGTCTGAGTTTGGGTGTTTAAGCACTGGACAGCCGTGTTGGTTTAAACTGCAAGGCCGGTGGTTCAAACTCCCAGCTGCATAGTGGGAACCCTCTTCAGGGTCACTATGAACCAGAAAGGAAGAAAGGACTCCAAGACACTTAAACAACAACAGGTTTAAGTTAAATAAAGCTGTCACCCCTAACACCGCCGCACCATTTAAAACAACTAACCACAACCTTCATCTTAGGTAGGGAGAAAAGAAACCAGCAATGGGGCTAAAGCCCCTTCTTGTACAGGCGCTTAACAGGTGATACTTGTCTACTGTCACTTCCTTAAGTCAGCAGGAAGAAAACATATCCAGCAGGGGTCTCTAATTTGCTTCTAATTTAAGGACAATTAGGCAATTTCCACATCTCCTACCTCTGAGCGGAAACAGCCTTAACTGAATGCTTTCTCTTCTACTTAGAGTAGCTAACCCTTTGGAAAAACAGAGGTTATGAAATCCATTTTGTGAGAACTTCGAGGGGCATTTAAAACATAGGGCACTGATCTTGGAAACCAGCCAGTAACCAAGTCTTCCTTCTGTTTTAATTTCCTTGCCCCCTATGCTAAAGTGTCCAAGTATTCTGGAAACATCTCTAACCTGAAGCACTTCTCGAACTGTCCCTCTAAAGAGTCCTTTTCTGTGACCTTCCGGACAAGAAATACATTCTAGGAAAGAGAGAAATAAAATTAAACATGCAAACGTACGGGATAACAGGTCCTCCCTCCCCAGGTACTCTTGGGAAGAAAGAGGCTAAAAAGAAAAAGGAACAAACACCAAACTCATTCACTAGCTCAGCTGTAAATTGGCAGGTGGCATTTGCCTTCCAACTTCTTAAAGCCACAGCTCAAAAAGAGAAGGACGGAGCAAGCTAGGAGTCCGCATCGGCCTCCGGAACGCAAACCTGGGTTCTGGGGCCGGGGTAGCAATGCCAAGCCTCCAGCAGCTGCCAGCCAGCCCAGCCAACTCTTTGATTATTTACCAGCAGAATTTAAACCTACTCTGCACGGGGGCGTGGCCAGGGCGGAGTCACGCCGCCCGGGTGGGCGGGGATCCCGGTGGCTCGACGCCGAGTGGGAAAGACCCGGGCTCAGGGAGTTAGTGCCTGTCTCTTTAAATGCCAGGGGCTGCACTCCCGCTCGGGGAGCCGGGAGCCGGATCTACAATCCCGTCCCTCCCGCTCCGGCGCTTGTTGCTCGCCGGGCTGAGCGGGAGCGGCCGCAACCGGGCCGCGAGACTCCCTCCTTCTTTTCCTCCAGCTCGCGCCCCACCTCCCCCGAGAGCTGGAAGAAGGGGGGTGCAGGGGCCCCAGCCCGAGAGAGGAGGCGCGGGGCGAACAGTCGTTGCTCCCCCACCTTCAAGTCTTGGGGCGCTACGCAGCCGCGGGGGTGGGGGGAAAGCCATGTGTCGCTCCCCCCAGTCCAGCTTCGTAGCCGCCCGCGCCGAAAGAGAAAGGACTGCGACTCCCACACCTGCAAACTCGCCCTAGAAGTCTCGGGGTGCGGCGGGGATCCCTCCCCGTTCCCGACGGCCTCCACCTCTGCGGGTGAGTTTGCGCAGGTCACCCGAGCCGGAGCCCGAGCCCGAGCCCGCGGGGGAGGGGTGGGCGGGTGGAGAGCTGGAAGTGCCGCAGGTGAGCCAGGTAGGGCGGCTCACCTGGACGGCCCGCGCTACGGGGACTTCTCCTTGTTCCCCCGGGAAGGGGGGAAGGGGGAGCCTGCCGGGGGCTACTTGGGACCCAGGGGCCAGAGAGCTGTTTAGACCAGGGGGCATTAGAGAAAACTTTCTGTTTCCTTCCTCCCTTCCGGCCGCCCGGGCTGGGCAGGTAAGGCGGTAGCGGAAGCGGCTGGAGCTGCTGATGCAATGACCTTTGGTCCGGGCGTGGGGAAGCATTGGGGGTGGGGGAAACCTGAAGTTGGCCGGTTTTGTGACCCTGACCTGTCTACCGGTGGAGAAACGAGTCGGTCCACCTGAGCCTCCCCCTAAAATGGCTCCAGGTGTTGACCCTACCTTATGCTGTTAAGAGCCAAGTGCCCCCTTCACGGAGGGGCTTCTGCATGGCTTCCTTGCCTTCCTCTCCCAACAGGTGGCCCCAGCCCCTGTCCTGTCCGGTAACCTGTGCCAATGACCCCAGTGGTGGTTTCACTTTCTCCCTTCTCGGCGCTGTGAACTTGGCGTCTGCTACGTGATGGGCAACCAGGTGGAGAAGCTAACCCACCTAAGTTACAAGGAAGTTCCCACCGCCGATCCGACCGGCATGGACCGGGACGATGGGCCCCGGATCGGGGTCTCCTACATCTTCTCCAATGATGACGAGGACGTGGAGCCCCAGCCGCCGCTGCCCCAGGTCCCGGATGGCAGCTGCTTGCCCGATGGTGAGGACGGCCAACCGCCGCAGCTGCCGCAACCGTACGATCCTCGGCTGCACGAGGTGGAGTGCTCGGTGTTTTACCGCGACGAGTGCATCTACCAGAAGAGCTTTGCACCCGGTTCGGCGGTGCTGAGCACCTACACGCCGGAGAACCTGCTCAACAAGTGCAAGCCAGGTGACCTGGTGGAGTTTGTGTCGCAGGCTCAGTACCCGCACTGGGCAGTCTACGTGGGCAACTTCCAGGTGGTGCACTTGCACAGGCTGGAGGTGAGCAACAGCTTCCTAACTGATGCGAGTCAGGGCCGGCGTGGCCGCGTGGTCAACGAGCTGTATCGCTACAAGCCGCTGAGCCCCAGTGCGGTGGTGCGCAACGCGCTGGCGCATGTGGGCGCCAAGGAGCGCGAGCTGAGCTGGCGCAACTCTGAGAGCTTCGCCGCCTGGTGCCGCTACGGCAAGCGCGAGTTCAAGATCGGAGGTGAGCTGCGGATAGGCAAGCAGCCCTACAGGCTGCAGATCCAGCTGTCAGCACAGCGCAGCCACACGCTGGAATTCCAGAGCCTGGAGGACCTCATCATGGAGAAACGACGCAATGACCAGATTGGGCGCGTGGCCGTGCTGCAGGAGCTGGCCATGCACCTGCACCCAGCGGAACCAGAAGAGGGCGACAGCGATGCTGCGAGGACTACGCCATCCCAGGGGCGCCCCCCAGCGCCGGCTTCTGAGGCTGTGGAGCACTGACCAGCCGAGCAGAGTGGAGCGTGCAGGACTATGAAAGGGCACTCTGCAGCAACCACCGCCGCCTCTCTCCCTCCTTCCCTTCCTTCACCGCCTTCAGTGTCCAACTGGGCTCCTGGTCCTTCCTGAAACAGAAACTGGGCTAATTGTGCAGCCAGCTCAGGCCGGAACTTGCCTCCTTCTACACCCCCCCTCCCCTCCCCAGAGAAGGGGAAAGAGGAGGGGGGCAGAGGGAACAGGTAGGAGCATCTTTGGCTAGGAGTATTTTCTGTGGGACTGTTGCAGACTTGGTTGACATTAATCCCTGTCTGATTCAAAATCCACCCTTTTCCTTCATGAAAAGTTCTGCCAATCTTTGTGGTAAGCAGGGGAGCTTTTCTCCTGCCCCTGGGCTTCCAGGTCTTCAGGACAAAGGCCAGAGCTGGTTAGGGTCCGGGTGGAGGTGGGGGGCTGCCCTTGCCCAGAGCTGTTTGTATCTGCCTCTCCCTCGGAGCTGTGTATGGGATGCTGGAGAAGCTGGGGTGATTTATGGGATTCCTGGAGTGCAGGCTGGCGAAGCCATAGCAGGGTCTGGGTCTGGGAGCAGCCGACCAAAACCAAGGGGCCCCTGTTAAGTGTAACAAATAGTTGGATAAACTTGGGCTACAAACAAAGACTTTGCTACCTCCCTCCCACCACTCCCTAATCATTCCTTTTCAGTGGCTGGCTCTTAGCTGAATCTCCTTCTCCAGCCGCCTCTTTCCAGGTTACAAGTAAATCATTGTCATGGGCTGGCTAGGGGAAGGATTCAATTAAAGGGTTGGTCTGCCGCCTTTGTTTCTCGCCTGCTGTTGTAGCTGTGTTATTTGTTATGAAAGGAGGGACTAGTCCTTTGAACCGCTGATCTCATTAAACCTGCTCAATATGTTCATCTGCTGGTCACAGATGGGGTTGTCTGGTGCCACCCCATAAAAGTATCCACTACAGAAGCAGCCAAGCAGGAAAGTGCCCTGGTAGTAATCCTTTAATCAACCCCCACCTCCTACCCCAGCTCCCTCCAGGATATTGAAGCAAAGTCTTTATAAAGCTCAAGGTTTTGTTAATGATCCTGTGCTCTTTCCCCCCACCCCCTCTCTACACCTCATTTCCACTTTTGTTTTGCTGGTGGTGACTTTAGGCTTGAAGTTGTGTCCAGTGGCTAAAATTCTTATTTTGTTCGCCTTACCTGGTGCAGTCTAATTCCAAATGCAGAGTCTTGATATCCTGCAGCGGTAATGAGCGAGCACCTTTTCTAATAGGAGCCACAATAGTCACTGATAAATGTCCCCCTGGTGTGGTCAGTACTGGAAGCACAGATGGGTGACTCTCAGATCTGTCAGTGGCAGGGAGAGCTGATACTACTTGGGTCTGCTGGTGAGCTTCAGTTTGCTTTACTATGAAGCTTTCAAAACTTTTTTTTTTTTTTTTAACAACCTGCCCCATGTATTTGTGTGAGCTTTTTGTGATGTGTGCCCTGAATTCCAGAATACTCTTCTGCTGCATTGCTAACTGCTAATGCAGACTCAAATTTTTGAGTAAATGTGGAGCCTTGGGAGTCATTATAGACTATTCCATACAAGTCATTGTGTAGCCTAATTCTACAAGCTGAACTGGAATCATACTTGAATGATCTACATCAGAGCCATCCGTAGACTCCTTGCCTGTTGTTGTTGTTGTTAAGTGCCGTCGAGTTGGTTCTGACCCATAGCGACCCTGTACAGGGTTTCCGAGGGCGTAAATCCTTACGGGAGTAGAAAGCCTCATCTTTCTCCCATGGAGCGGCTGGTAGTTTCAAACTGTTGACCTTAAGGTTCGCAGCCCGATTCATAACCACTACGCTACCAGAGCTCCGACAGACTCCTTGCCTGGACATCCCTAAATCAAGACTTGAAGGATTTTCTTGTATGCTTGCTTTTTTTTTTCCAAACCTGCTTTTTCCCCAAGCTTATACCTTCATAGCGCCTAAAAAGGAAATCTTTTCATTACAAGGGCATTATCCATGTTGTGTTCATTTCCATTTCATTGTTTAAGATCAAGATCTGGTCTTGGGCTTTTGAGGAAAATAAATTTCTTGTTGGAAGTGTAGATTCTTTGATCTGCCTAGTTCCTACATTTAATAATCTAACAACTCTGGTTGTAAGATGGAGGTACAGAAAGGTCATGGAAAAAATTAAAATGGATTTATAAATCCATTTTCCACAAACTTTTTGAAACCCCCTTGTATTCACTGGCTTATAGGAAAAGGACAAGATAAATGTGGGTAGACAATTGGAAGAATTTGTTATACCAAATAATCCATGGGTAGTGCGAATGGTTAACATCCTCCCTGCTAACTGAAAGGAAGATTGGAGTTTTTAAGTCCCTTCCAGAGGTGCTGCACAAGAAAGGCCTGGTGATCTTTCACAAACTCAGTTAATGGAAACCGTGTAGAGCACAGCTCTACATTCTGTTTGGAATTGACTGGGCAGCATCGAGTTTAGATTTGGGTTTTGCTTTTTGGTATATAGTATACCTCACCAATTTGAATTTTCTTTTATGCGTAGCACACTAGTGACATAAAGTAAGGGGCCAGTGTCCAGGCAACAGAGGGGAGCAGCAGGACAACATTATTCTGCCACTCTGGGCTACCCAACTATTTTCTACTCCTCCTTCCCCCACCCCCAATACACCTTTTCCCTCCAAATGGTGCGTCGATGTCTATTCACACTGAGGTATGTTGTTAGGTGCCGTTGAGTGGATTTTGACTCACGGTGACTCTCCTGTGACAGTGTAGAATCTGCCCCATAGTGTTTTTTCCTAGGCTGTCATCTTTTTGGGAGTAGATCTCCAGCTCCCCCACAGAGTCAGTTCGTACCAGTGGGTACGAATTGCCGCTTTTCAGCTATCAGCCACTTAACCACCAAGCACATTGCGCCACCAAGGACTCCTTACGCTGAGGTATAGCAGGGCCTACTTGTTTTAAGTGAACTTCAAGGTCTCAGCTAAGAAGAATTGGTCTAAAGTCTGCACCCACAGTAGCTTTTGACTACTAGAGAAGAGGTTTTTGAGACCCGATCTGGAAAATGACCTACACTAAGAAATTGAGACACTCTCCAATTGCTGTTTTCTGGAACATTCTCACAGGGTCTGCGGGATGTGAGATACCTCACACTTAAAGGCAAACTGACTGCACTGGAAGATGTCTTAGGGTTGTTGTGGTGTGTGACTACAGTAACAAACCAGTCCAGGCTCTAACCAAGGGGGAATCCAATCAGTTCTTGGCTGTTTCCTCAAGATGGCAGTGTTGTGGATAAGTGGCTTTTTAATACCCTGGCAATGGCCTACACCTGGCACTTTAAAAAAATAGATACTAAATTTGGTTTCTCCTTAGGAATAGAACTTTAGAGTGATTTTTGTACTGTGAATTACTGATGCTCTTTGAAGGAAGAAATACTGATGCTACATTCAGAGGGTCTGGCAGCAGGCAGTCCCACTGAGACAGATGTAAATGAAATCAGACATATTCTATTTTCTTAACTGAGCAAATATTTTATTGAGACTGCTTATGTATGTCAAAGGAAACTACAACTTCAGCAACATCGCTTTTTATACCGAAAGAAGGCATAATTTTTGTAGATTTTATTCCATGTTTAATTTCAAATAACTTTGTAGTACTAAAATGCCTAAAGACTTTTCCCTGGACCTTTAAAGAAATTTTTAGTTTTTATGGAAAAAAAAAAAAAAGACATTTCTGTGGTTAAGATTCTCATTGTCTTAGGTGCTTCTGGCTCTAATCGTACTACCAGACAACACCAATACTACATGGAAACATATTTTTGGAAGCAAAACTTTAATTTTATATGACATATACTACAGAGAGCTAAGAAAATTTAAGGTCTCTTTGTTTCTCTTTGTTTTTTTTTTTTTTTTTTTTTTTTTAACAAAATGGAACTCACTGTGTCAAACTCTTGAGACTTTGTACTTGTCTAACCATTTTTTAAAACAAATTAGAATAAAATTGAGTGCAGTCATTAGCAAACGGATTCCTTTGGAAAGTTACATTTTGTGAATTTCTGAAAAAAAAAAAAAAAACAATCAGGGTAACCATAAACATGACTGTCCTATTCAATGGTGTCATTTTGTTCTTGCCTGTAATACTTGTGACCTATGGAGAATTTCATTGACTCACAGGATAAATGCCAACCTGCTTTTTATTTCCCCATGAATTGTGTAAACTTTATATTTTGTTGAAGGTTATATGTTAAATCAATATGTTATGTTCTTATTCTACTTCTTGAGAAGGAAGTTCTGATTGGAAATTGTATCATTTCCTTCAAAATGAAGGGCTGTGTTCAGTTAAATAAAAGATTGATGATATCTTTTAAACGATTTCCTCTTCAATGTTTGTCTTGTTAAAATAAAGTCTGTTTTTGGAAAACTCTGAGGTAAGAGTTTCTAATAAACCATGGTGATGGTGTGCCATGGAGTCGGTTCTGACTCAGAGCAGAGTTGTATGAGGCTGTAAATCATTACAGGAGCAGAAAGCCTCACTTTTTCTCCAGAGGAACGGCAGGTAGTTTTGAACTGCTGACCTTGAGGATAGCAGCCTGACTCATACCCACGACTGTACCAGAGCTCCTTCCAATAAAAAACATAGAGTTAACTAAACTTATAGTTTTCTACACTTGTGTACGTATCTTTTTCTGCCATTTTTTTAATCCAAATTCAAGCTATTTAATGTACTTAGATTTCTCTGAGGACATTAGATATATATCATTGTTCCATCACTTGGTAAAGATTTTGCGAATGAGTTCAGCAGCTGGAAACCCTCCCTTAGTTTACTGTGTAAGAATGACTCAGCTGTCAGGGTTCATGAAACATGCTTGGTGCATGCCTATAAATTGTCATTTCCAAATCCATGCAGAAATGGAAATCGCACATTTTGAGATCCACACAAGAATTAATGTAAAAAGGTGAGTAACGTGTAGCATCTTAGGCATTTAGGC